GGATGATATTAGATTCCATCTCCATCTTTCACCTTTACAAGGTCAACTCAAAATAGATTAAAGACTTAAATTCAAGACCTTAAACTATTAAAATACTAGGAAAAAATAAAAAACCACTAGGGGAAATACTATAGGACATTGGTTTGGGCAAAGATTTTTTTTTCAGTAAGACCTCAAAAGCACAGGCAGCAAAAGCACAGGCAGCAAAAGCACAGATAGACAAATGGTATTACATCAAGCAAAAAAGTTTCTGCACAGCAAAGGAAACAATTAACAAAATGAAGAGACAACCTACAGAATAAGAAAAAATATTTGCAAACTATCCATCTGACAAGAGATTAATAGCAGAATATACAAATAACTCAAATAACTCAATAGCAAAAAAAAACAAACAATATGATTTTAAAATGGGCAAAGGCTGGGCATGGTGGCTCATGTCTGTAATCCCAGCAATTTGAGAGGCCAAGGCAAGATGATTGCTGGAGCAATTTTAGACCAGCCTGGGCAATACAGTGAGACCCTATCTATACAAAAAAGAAAAGAAAAAAAGTTAGTTGTGCATCTGTAGTCCCAGCTTTCAGGAGGTTGAAGTGGGAAGATTGCCTGAACCCAGGTGGTCAAAACTGTGGTGAGCTGTGATCAAGCCACTGAACTCCAGCTTGGATGACAGATTGGGACTGAATTGCAAAAAAATATAAAATAATAAAATAAAATCAAGCAAAATAAAAAAATAAAATGGGCAAAAGACTTATACAGACATTTCTCAAAAGAGGACACACCACAAATGGCCAAAAGTATATAAAAAAATGCTCAACATCATTAATCATCAGAGAAATGCAAATCAAAACCACAATGAGATATCATTTCACACCAGTTATAATGGTCTCTATTAAAAGACAGAGTAACGGTGCTGGCAAGAATAGAGTGAAAAGGAAATCCTTGTGCACTGTTGGTGGGGTAGTATAGCCATATGACAAACAATAAGGAGGGTCCTCAAAAAATTAAACATAGAACCTCTGTATGATCCAGCAATCCCACTGCTGGGTATATATCTAAAAGAAAGGATATCAGTGTATTGAAGAGATATCTGCACTCCCATGTATATTGCAGATCAATTTGTAATAGCTATACGGAACCAACCTAAGTGTTCATTAATGGACTAACAAATAAAGAAAATGTGGTGCATATATACACAGTGAAATATTATTCAGCCATGAAAAAGAATGAAATCCTGCCATTTGCAGCAACATGAATGGAACTGGAGATTATTATGTGAAATAAGTCAGGCACAGAAAGACAAATATCAAATGTTTTCACTCCTATGTGGTAACTAAAAAAGTGAATCTCATGGAGATAGAGACTAGAATTGTGGTTACTAGAAGCTGGGAAGGAAATAGGAAGGAGGGGGATAAAAAGGCATTGGCTAATGGGTACAAAATTACAGTTAGATAAAAGGAATAAGTTCTAGTATTTAATACTACAGTAGGGAAATTACAGTTAACAATAATTTATTGTATGTTTCAAAATAGCTAAAAGAGAAGAATCATAATATTCCTAATGCAAAGAAAAGATAAATGTTTTAAGTGATGGGTAGCCCAGTTACCTTGATTTGATCATTACACATTGTATACATGAATCAATATCACATGCACCCCTAATATGTACAACTATGATTTATCAATTTAAAACATCCCAAACAACAAGAACAAAAACCTCTAAAGCTGCATCCATGGAATACAACTCTTTTTTAAAAAAGATTTTAAAAACTGCTTTTAAAAGGTGAAATTAATGTTCTGCCAAGTAGAGGCCCTTATGTTCATATTTGTAGATGAAAATATTTTTGTTTTATGAGAATGACAGCAGGTTCCTTTTGCAATAGAACTGAACATTTGGTGGACAGTGCTAGTTAAGAACAAAAGACTTAAACATTCCAGCTATGTTTAGTAATGCTCTGCTCAAATATTTTCCCTAGTGTTCATTTATACAGTTGATGGTAGAATTGAATTTAAGGGTTAAAGCTAACTTTTACTGAAAAATAAAAAGGTATAACAATGTTATTAAAGGAAAAGTACTAACACCTGAGTTATTTTTGGTTAAATATGCTTTACGAAGTATATTATGTGCAGTCTTTTTAAAGTCAATTAACTTTCTAAAGCTAATTTCAAAAGTTTATATATTTTTCCCATTACAACTTGCATTTATTATATTGAATATAACTTTACATTTTTTGCCTATTGCTATTTATTTACTTTAAATTTAATATAATTTCCTTTATTTTAACAGCTTTACATGTACAGTAGTTCTCAAGTGTGGTCCACATACTTCTGGGGGTCCCTGAGACCTTTCAAGAGGTCTGCAGGTCAAAACTATATGGATCATAATAAGACGTTATTTGACTTTTTCATTGTGTTCTCATTTGCACTGATGATGTGAAAGCAATGGTGGATCAGTCTGTTGACAGTGGCATCAAACTGAACTAGCAGTTACTGTATTCTTCACTGCAAAGTCACAGCATAATGAGAAAAAAGTTAGTTTCACATAAGAATGTCCTTGATGAAGTAGTAACATTTACTAATTTTATTAAATCTCAACCCTTGAGTACCTGTCTTTTAATTAATATTTTGTGTGATGAAATGAGAAGTAGGCATGAAGAACTTCTGCTGCAGAGCAAAGTGCAAAGATATCTCCAGGGAAAGTACCTGTGTGGCTGAGTTTTGAGCTGGATTAGCCACTTTTTTCATGAAACTATATTTTTATATGAAAGAATGACTGACAATAAACTATGGTTATTGAGACATGGGTATTTGGTAAACATTTTCTCAAAAATAAACACAGTGAGCCTGTCACTCCAAGAAAAACAACTGATGGTAAGTGTTGTCAATGACAAACTGAGTGTTCAAGTGAAAATTAGAATTTTAGAAAACTTTCATCTGTCCAACATAAGCCGACAATTTCCCCAAAGCTTCAACTCTTTCGATGAAATTATAGAATGAAATGTGTTAACATTTTGAAGATCTGCATAACTCAGTGATCTAGTATTTTCCAAACGACCAATGCATTATATCACAGGATTATGCATGGGAAAAAAATCATTCAAAGTATAAGATAGACCAATGCATTATAATACAACAGTGTAAAAAAACTTTATTGATGTCATTTTGGATTCAACATTGCAAATAACCTTCCAGAAACTATCACTTACCGAGTTTTGGTGTACTATAAGAAAATACCCATAATTATCTGAAATGGTTATTAAAATACTCCCCCACTTTTAGCATGTTCTTTTCATTAGTTCTGATGTTTACTGTTATAACTTTAAGTAATTCAATTATATTTCAATTTGGTATATTATCTTATATCTGCTGCCCCTCTGCTATGAAATAAGCATGACTATTCAACATTTCTTCCACCTCCTTTTGTAGCTTTTGTTGTCTTTAACTGTAATTGTTAAATTTCTAACTTAGTAAAATAGACATATGACTCCAATTCTTCATCTATGACTACTTGATATGAAAGATTTAAAAAATCATCTCACTCTGGCTTCTGTTTTCTTTCCTTATCTCTTGATTTTGTTAGCTACATTATTTTTATGTTGTCAAGGTTTAAGATATCTTTGTTTTATTCTGAAATTCAAATCGTCTTCTGTATTCATCTCTTTGATTCTAAAAATTTTAAACCTTAACATATAATGACTGTGTAAATATTATTCACTGCAAAGCCAAGTCATGTGATGGGACCACAGAGAAGAAAATATAATCCTATGTTATAAACTCCCTCTGGTCAAAGAGGAATGCCTCAAGCATAAAGGTACAATGGATTTTCTACTTATTACTTCTGAATTTTTTAGATCACTGTTGTCCAGTAGAATGGTCTGTTGTGATGAAAATGTTCTATATCTGTGCTGTCCAATACTAGCTACTAGCACATGAGGCTAGTCTGAGTTCCTGACTTCTAAACATTATTTAATTTTAATACTTTAAACTTAAACTTTAGCAGTCACATGTGGCTACTGGCTATCATCCTGGACAGTGCAGTTGTAGGTCACACTATGATACTCCTGTCTTATCTCCCACCATTCCAAGCCTTATCTACAATTATTGAGCTCCTACCATAGCAAGCTCCTCCATTGCTTGGGAGACCACTATGTATGGGTACTGCGACAGTTGTTTTTTAACCATTACCTCTAATCTTCTCAAGAACCCTGTGTTTTAGTCTATTTTTTGCTGCTATAACAGAGTACCACAGATTGGGTAACCTACAAAGAATAGAAGTTTATTTGGCTCATGATTCTGAAACTGGTAAGTCCAAGAGCATGGTGCCAGCATCTGGCGAGTACTTCTGTACTGCATTTTCCATGGTGATAAGTAGGAGGGCAAGCGAGCACAGGAGACAGGGAGAGGAAATGGGTTTAACTCATCTTTGTATCAGGAGCCCATTCCCATAATGGCATTAGTCCATTTTTGAGGGTGGAGCCCTCATGACTGAACCACGTCTTAAAGGTCTCACCTCTTAAATCCATTACAATGGCAATTACATTTCAATAAAAGTTTTGGAGGGGGCAGTTAAACTACAGTACCCCATAAGGAAAACATCACCACACCCATTTAGCAGATGAGAAACCATGTTTCCTGGAGGTTAAGATGCCCAGCTGGTCACACAGCTGGGAGAGGGAACTGAACTAGGATCTAAGAGCCTACCTTCTTTCTTCCTATGCTCTCTCCTTGATCTCATTATAGGCACCAGACACTGTGTTATATGCCAGGAATCCAAGGGTGAAAAAAGCCCAGACCCCGTCTTGAAGGCACTAACATGAACCAGGCACATGAACCAGGCAGTAGTTACCTTCTGGTTCTCTGTGATTGATTTTATGAAATTGAGGTAGTGGTCATTTTCACTGCTATTGTGCAAACAGGGTTTATTTGTTTCTAATTTAACAATGTGTATTCTAAAGAGAGGGAGAAGATTTACAACATTTAAAAGTGCAGCTAACTTTAACTTACCTCTTTTTGGTAAGCCAGTCCTTCTTCATAGAGTTTAATGAAGAGGAATTGCGTCCATTTGTAGTAATCTGGCAAACACGTAGTTATTTCCTGCCAAAGAGGAGGAAAAATCATGTATAGGCCATTATAAACAGTCCCCCCACAATGTATGCATCAGCCTTGCAATTTAGTTTTGAAAAGCAATCAAATCACAAAAATATTTATCACCCTATTATGTTTTCACTAATTTGTAAGGCAAGGGAAGCAGCTGTTATTGAAATGCCAGCCTCCACCTTTCCTAGAGCATGTTCAATGATCCAGAAACTCAACTACAGGTCTTTTATATACCTCCTATCACCCACCTATGGTACTAACAGGTGAATTACATTGTATGAAATTGAGTATTAGCATTTTTGTCCCCACAATCATATGCTGGGGACATGATGCTAATTCATGAATGTGGCTCATTTTGAAAGCAATTGCAAAATTCAAGAGGAATGTTTGTTTGCTTCAGTATAATCCTCATTTGAAAGAAACCTTGTGTTTCTACATATAACTGGGGCCTGGTACTCCTTTAGACTCATTATATTCCATTTATCCCATTATATGAATCAGGCTGTTGTCTACTTAGGAAGACCAATTAAAAACACTATCAAATAAATATTAAACCACCTAGTTTATATTTCCAAGCCTAAATCAAAGATACTCAAGCCAAGATGGGCTCTTAGAGCTAAAAACAAACAAAACCAAAACTAAACTTATTTGCTACAGAATTTTCAAGACTAGGTCTTGACTAACCAACTTGTAAGGTTTGCAGTTGATGAAATCAAGTATGCCTTTGAACCAAACCAGCACACTGTGGGTGGCCTTGCTCCCTCAAACCTCCAAATTCATCCTCGTTCATCCTCTTTTCCTCATCAGCTACCCCTTATGCTGGCATGGCATAGAACAGATAACTTCAAGACTTCCATTTTTCGCAAAATTCAGGATAGGAGCTCTGTTTGGTCTGTTTTGTTTGTTCATCACCATTTGCTCAGGTCCAGGTATATCAAGTCATCCTAAAATGGTTGTTGAAGGATGAATAAACTAAATAGATATACGAATTACTGCACGTTGAATCAAATTTGTATCCTCATGTAGGTTTCACAGCTAGATTCCAATTAGACTGCAGGCCACAAGATGAGCTGGACTAGTGGACGGGGTTGGGAATGGGGGGAGTATGGTATAAATATTCCCAGACCTAGTTGCTGTAGATAGATCTTTTCATTAAAAAATTTAAAGAAGTATATGAAGCAAATAAGAGAAAATAATGACAATTGTTAAATCTAGTGGAAACAGGTTCATTATTTTCTTTTCTCTATTGTTCTGTATATTTGAGTTATTCATAATACAATATCAAAATACTTCTAATGAATATTTTTTCTAAACCCCTAAATCTACATCCACAGACTAAGTAAAAATTACACAGCAATGAAATAGCATTGCTATCTTCATCTAGGCTTAAGGCTTTGAAAATCACTTTTACATAAAGTAGGCAAAATGGGACAGATCCAGTCAGGAAACAAATTATCTTTATCCACCCAAGTGTCAGCCTACTTGTAGTCACTCATAATGAAAGCGCGTTCTCTTCAGAACTGTCAGCTCCAAGGGGAAGGGAGGAGTGGGGAGCTTCAGGCCCCCACTTTCACCCTGGCTTCAAATTTGAGTCTGACGTGTTTTATTTATATTGCATTTCTGCACCTATAATTTGAAGAAAAAGTAACAGCAGCTAAAAAGGTGAGGGCTTGAAAACCCCTGCTTCAGAATCATTATTCAATCACTGGCAGTTTTGTTTTCAGGCATGTTTACAGCGCTCATAAGTTCCAAGCTAAAGTGTATGACTCACCTGCACAGAGGAGGCAGGGAGTGCCTGGAGGAAGGCACTGTGCTCCTGTCCATTTCATCCCCATCTGCTGCATACAAGGCCCAGCAATGGGCCTACCCTCAGTAATATCTACTCTGTGAAGAAATGCCAGGGCAGACGTCGCCGGCTTACCAGTAGTCTCACAAGAACCATAAACATGGCTAGAGATGGACACTGCTCAGAAATGCATTTACCAAAAGCCAGAGTGCCCTGTGGAACCTTCTGATTTACTCATTAAAACAAAACAAAACAAAAAACAGCTAGTTCTAGTCTTCTAATGCTCAGTCAAAATCATCAAAGGCATCTTTCTGAAATTAAAGTCCTTTTTTTTTTCTTTTTGTCAAATGGCTAGAAATAGAGACTTCCTTTTCAGATTTTCACTGGGAACTACTTACTCAAAACCCAGTTCTGTAGACAGGGTCTTCTGAGGGGTTTCAGTACCCACAGACAAATTAATAGTTCTTTCTTCCTCTCTGTAAAGCAGGCATTCTCAACCTGGAAGATTTTGTTCCCCAGGGAACATCTGCCAATGATTGGAGACATTTTTATTTGTCACAAATGGGTGTGTGTGTGTGTGTATGAGTGCACATACTACTGGCATCTAGCGGGTAGAGGTCAGGGATGCTGCTAAAATGCCTAGCATGCATAAGGCAGTCCCTAGAACAAAAAAATTACCCAGCCCCAGATGTCAATAGTGCCAAACTGGAGAAACTTTTGATCTAAGGGTTTAGGTTTGTTCAGTTTTTTTTTCACACAGGAAATAACATTTTTTTGGTACAAAATTTACATCTGTTGTATATGATGAAGACCTTTTGTTAATCCCTTTTACTTTGAGATTGTCTGTGAAAAGTAATTACTTATTTCCTAATACAGTCTCAGATAATACAAATTTTTGTATAGAATACTTAACAGCTGTGTTGTTAATAAGTGTCTTGGGGCATAAGATATAAAAGGTTTCTTTCAGTTTGAGTCTGTAACTTCAGACAGATTAAGGGAGAATTAACCAAGCAACTTTCCAGTGGGCATTCTGTAAAAATTGATAACATGGATAAAACGCAAATGGGCAAGCCGGGTTCGGTGGCTCAGTCTGTAATCCCGCGCCTTTGGGAGGCTGAGGTGAGTGGATTGCCTGAGCCCGCGGGTTCGAGACCCGCCTGGACAGCAAGACCTCATCTCTACAATAAATAAAAAAAAATCAGCCAGGCGTGGTAGCACATGCCTGTAATTCCAGCTACTTGGAAGGCTGAGGCGGAAGGATCGCTGGAGCCCAGCAAGTCGAGGCTGCGGTGGCCGGGAGCGGCCACTGCACTCCAGTCTGGGTGACAGAGTGAGACTCCAACTCAAAAAAAAAAAAAAACGCAAATGGGCAAAAGCGGAAACATGGAGTCAGTTAACGTGGTTTCCCTCCTCTATCGGATGCCAGCCCACCTCTGTTGAGTATGACCTGCAATGCACATAGGAACTGCTGCAGATGCAACCACTAGCCTTTCTGTCAACACAGAGACCAGGCGGAAGAGGGACATCTCAAGTTTGGAGTTGCAGGCAGATCAGATTCTAAAACTCTATTATGTGTGCATAATGCTGTTCACTGGGAATAAGTGATTGATTTTACTATCGAAATTTTACATCATTTAATATGCCTTCAAGTGGTTGTCTGACTTGAAAAATCTCACGTAATAAATTTATGTAATAAATTTCCCATTTTGAAGTTCAAGATGTATACACTTTCTCTTGATATGACACCAATTAATCCCAGTTGAACAAATACAAGATTATAGATCATTCAGTGGAATTTGACCCATTCCACCCAAATTTCTAGACTCATCCATGCCTGCAACGCAAGGGAAGCCCTGTGTCTGTAGGGTGGAGCTTCCTGCTGTTCAAATCTGCCAGCGAGCTATAAGATAGCACCAACTTGGTATCACAACTTCTTAGATCACAAGAGAAGTCAAACAAAGGCTATTCACTGTGTTCCAAAATCTATCTTCATTCTGGTACTTTCCTTTGCCCTGCTTTTTAAATGAGCCCACACCTACATTTATGCATCATTGTTTTTAATACAAAAAGTCAGATAACTCAAAGTTATGGCTACAAAAGCAACTGCAATTTGGCCACATTCCACATAGATCTATATAAAGGTGTCAACTTTTATATCCTCTTGAGTTCTAGAAAATGCAATCTAGCTGCCAAGAGACTAAATTTATGTTTCTGGGATCCAAACTAGAATCATTCCTCCATGCTGCATTTTTTATATTATACAATACCTGGTTTTTAGTATTAAAAATATTTTGCACCTTTATAGGCAAACCCAGAGCCCAACATACAAGGTGAGCAGAACAGAAGGGGGGCACAAAACAATACCCTTTGAGACCTGCCACCCATGATTCTGCACAAATTAATAACAAGGCCAGGCCGGCCAGCAGTTCCTGTGACACAGTGATTTGTCAGTGATGAAGTCCAAGAAGGCTGAGCCACAGCGGCCTAGCCTACTTTCCCCAATATGAAATAACATTTGATCTGTGAAGGAAGAATCACAGCAGTCACCCACCTTCTGTGTGCCCCAGAGGTCTCCTCAGGCTAACATGCCTTGCTCCAGGAAAAGAGCCTGGGAGAATACGATCTCAGGGAAAAGCTTGGAGCCATGTGACTTGGGTTCAAGTCTTTACATTATCACTAGCTTGCGGACATGCTGCATTTCCCTATAAGAAAACACGGACAGCTGGAAACAGTGGCTCATGCCTGTAATTCCAGTGCTTTGGGAGCCTGAGGTGGGAGGATAACTTGAGGCTAGGAGTTTGAAATTCAGCCTGGACAACATAGTGAGACCCTATTTCTACCAAAAAAAAAAGTAGTCAAGTGTAGTGGCACACACCCGTAGTCCTAGCTACTCAGGAAGCTGAGATGGGAGGATCACTTGAGCCCAGGAGGTTGAGGCTGTAGTGAGCTGTCATTGTACTACTGCATTCCAGCCGGGACAACAAAGCAAGACCCTGTCTCTTGAAAAAAGAAGTGGGGGTGGTGGTGGTGGTGATGGTGAGTAATAAGGCCCACTGTAGATGAGAATAAAATACAATCATGTACGTAAAGCACAAGACTAGGCACATAGGAGGAATCAATGGGTGCTACTTCCCTTAGTTTTACTCAAAGGGTGTGTGATGCCCAGAGTGAGGCTGGCATCATCACCACACCAGTCAGAGAGGCAGGACAA